TGATGACAGAATTTTCATTTTTGGGTGAACTGTCCCTTTAAATCTGGGAATGTACAGAAACAAGTGAGTCACAGTTTACAGAGACACCTTTTTGCACACCACACACAAGCAAAGAACCAGGAAATATTTCAGTCCTTTAGAGTTCTGAGATAACGAAACTTATCGAGCGAAGTTGCTGAACTCTTATGTGTTTCTTCTGTTTCTGTGCACATGTGGTGAAATGGCAGAAGCCAGCATTTTATGGACTCAGGACCAGTTCATTTGTCCAGTGTGTCTTGATCTTCTAAAGAATCCAGTGACCATTCCCTGCGGACACAATTACTGTATGACATGTATTTCGGACTGCTGGAATCATCAGGATCAGAAGACTTTCTACATCTGCCCTCAATGCAGACAGAAGTTCACTCCAAGACCTGCTTTAAATAAAAACACCATGCTGGCTGAAGTGGTGGAGAAACTCAAGAAGACTAAACTACAAGCCGCAGTTCCCACTGACACTGGACCTGGAGAAGTAAAGTGTGACGTCTGTACTGAAACAAAACTCAAAGCCATCAAGTCCTGTTTGGTGTGTCTGAACTCTTACTGTCAAAGCCACCTTGAACAGCATGAGAATTTTTTTAAAGATAAGGGACACTATTTGATGGATGCCACTGGACAACTTCAGGAGATGATCTGCCCTCAACATGGTCGACTGCTAGAGGTTTTCTGCCGCACTGACCAGCGCTGTATTTGTATGCTGTGTACGATGTATAAGCATAAAAACCACGACACTGTCTCAGCTGCAACAGAGAGAACAGAGAAAGAGGTATGAACTGAAATGACATATTAGTGCTTTAAAGGGATACTCCACCCAAAAATGAAAATTCATTCATCATTTACTCACACTGCCTCAAGCCAATTGGTTTTAGTTGCATCAGCAGCTAGTGCTGCATTCTTGGCTAGTGCTTGCTGCAGCAGTTGCAGTGCGCTTTAGAAATCCTCCACCTTCCCTAGCTCCACCTGTATAGACCTGCTACGGGGTGATTTTCATGCTTTATATGGGAGTTATTTCATTTACAGTATTTTATATGTGCAGCAGCAGTATGTCTGTGGATGTATTGGCAGTAAGTCTTGGTATAGCAGATCTATATAGCAGATCAGTGTAGCAGATCTATTCCACCAAGACCAAACAAATTAACATTGCCATGTATATTACCATTCTAAACTTTCCGAGAGTTGTCATGACAGAAATAAAGTAAGTTCACCTTACAAGTGATGATTTAAGTGTAGTAATCCCAGTTAACAGAAATATGTTCTATATATTCTAAAACAGTTTGTTAATGTTCCCATTAAGTTATGAAAACTTTATTTTGGAACATTTTCCGGACATTAAAAACATTCTTTTTTTTTATGTTCCAAAACTTTTTATGCGGTTATGTGAATGTTAAGTGAACATATGATTTATCATTTTGCAAATGTTATGGGTAACATTAGTTTTTAATGCTCTCTAAATGTTCTGAAACAAGTAACTTTTAAAAATGTTTCAAAAATAAATAGTTCCATAAATTATTTATAATAAAGTTTTTGTTCTAACATTTGACGAGCGAGAAAGAGAGAACGGACAAGCAGATAAAACAACGTCTTACAGCCACATAGTCTTTGGTCATTGTGCTTGCTTCTCGTGCTTCAGGAATATCCACCAATACTGTATAGAAGTCATACAACATTTCACATGATGATTTTGTAATATTAAATTTTATGAAACATTTCTCATATTTACTGTATGTTCTATAGAGACACTTGAAAAATACACAGGTAAAGTACCAGCAGAGAATCCACGAGCGAGAGAAGGACATCCAGGAGCTGAGAGATGCTGTTGAGTCACATAAGGTGAGTACTGAGAGGAGAAAAAGATTGAGCTACAGTTAGGAATCTACTCCAGTGCTGAAGACCTTGCAATCCCACTGAAACCCACTGGGTCTGATTGTAATGT